GTATATTTGTGAAAGTTTTATATTTTATTTTTTTTAAAAAAAATTAATACAATATTAATATATATAAAACGTATGCAAGGAGAATGTATTTGTATATGATTTATTAAAAATGCTTCTCCTTGTTTTGTTTATTTACTCGAAATGGAGTTTATTTACTTCAAATATTTTGGTTTATATTTTTGTAATAAAAAAAAAGGGTTATATTGGAAAAAAAGTTTTTTTTTTTTTGTTTTATTAATTTACGCGATCATAGAATTTATCTATTTAAAAGGATTTGATTTATTTTTTTAAATTCTAAAAAGAAGTTGAATTTGTCAAAAAATGAAACGCGTATTATTTTAGTTGACATGAAAAAATTAATTATTCATACATGTTGATTGAGACCTATTTTGTTGGCCATAAACCACGCAACAATTACCTGCTTAGAAATTAACGTAACACTTGACCGAAGCTGAAAATCACAATAAAGAAATTTACAACTAAAGGTAGATTATAAGGCCGTCCACGGGATAGGAATGAAAAAAGGTTCACATAGAGTTGCATAATTCTATTCGGATCCATGCGAGAAATAAACTAGTCCATGTAGAGAAAACAAGAGTGACATCAAACTTACGATTAACTACGACATCCCATAACGGCGAAGCCGCGCCGATAGATGGAGCTCTACATTAGCCGATGCCCACAATCATACGACAAAAATAGTGGACGACATATGCTAGTAGATACGTAAACGGTACCATGTATGCAAAGTAAAAGATAAACCGAGGACTTGCGATATAGTATCAAACAATCGCTTCCGCACGAAAGGTGTGGCTTCATCCAATTAAGGGTGGTTGTCCGCGTGTGCAAGCGACACCCTTGCACTAGTTCCTACACATCCGTGCACGATTCGGAACTCTCCGTTGCGGAACATGTCCAACATCACCTTCACATCCCCCTTGACTTCATGGATGTGACTTTGCATGTCACGAAGATCGCTCCGCATGACACCGACCTCCGTCTCCAACATGGCCAAGCTTTCAGAAAGATCGTTGAACCGGTCGCTAATATCCTCCGATTGAGAGGCAGGGGTTGGCCTTCCATGGGTCCCCGGATCATCCCGGCGTGGACGTTGTAGTATGTCCATGTAGTACAACGTCTCTATGCCGCAAGGAACCATTTCAGTGTCGGGTATACCCCCTAGTAGTGGTTTCAGTCCAAGTCCTCGAGCCAATTGCTTGACGTACGGACCTACCGGTATAGATCGGACCCGAGTGTCCGATGTGGTTGTAATGCAAAGTCGGGCCAATCAATATCCTAAATGGATAGGCACCCCTTCCTCCAAGCTCCATAACAAGTTCAAATTGAACGTACTCACTGCGGCGGTAGCCTTTTTCCGACTTGCGATAGTATGGGCAAGGATGTTGTGAATGTACCTGAGAGGAGTGGAACGCAACTTTGAAGCCTTTGAGCATCCGGGGCTGAAGCTTAAGCAGGTGCTAATACGTGGCCAGTACACCTGCGGAGACAATGGCATGTCATGCAGCAGAGTGCCATACTCCGTCATCAGTGTAAAGTCGCTATCTTAAAGGCCTAGCGTTATCGAGAACTCTGTCACCGACATCGAGAACTCCTTCCCCCCTAGGCGAAAGTGAATGGTCCCCGTCTTATCATATTGGCGGATGTTTGGTTTGTCTCATTCGAATGTGTATAAGAATTCCATTGTTATATCTCGAAACCTTGGCTCCTTGATCTCAAAGAATATGTTCCAAGCTCCACATTGGAGGAACCTATCAATGTCCCCTCTTGCTCCTATAGCTGCAACTGCATCGTCGTCAATGAAGCGGCCAACGAGGAACGGTATTTACAAGAATCTCTCGTACTTCTGCTGAATAGAAGCATCACTGCATTGTAACTGCTCGAACGGGGTCATCACTATATCATCTGCTCCACATGCAGCTCTTTTTCGAGAAGTGGACTGCAACCTACAACAAAGCATTGTACAAGCGATTGGCCGGGGTGGCACAAGAACATAAAAGAAAAACATCACGTGCAGTTAAGAAGCTTGCAAAGATTTAGAAAAAGGCTCACAACGACGAATCAAGTTTAAGGTCACCACGGACTGTGCAACAGTACAGGAAAATCGCTGCATACACCTCACATCGCCAACACCTGCGATGTTTCTCCAGTGAAATACCCCGGCAACTGCGCAGCCTGCGCATGCTTACAGATAACTTGTAGGATTGAAGCTCTCATGCCATACAGGTCCAATCACTCAGAACTTCAATACGGGTTACGAGAGCGTAGATGAAACATTACCACGATGAATACTATATATGAAGTAGTCTTCAAACTAAGGGAATACAACGGAAACATTAGAGTGCGATGTCTAGTTGTTGAAGTATAAAGCAATAATAGTGAACTACATTTCAAGGTGTGTCCTACAGTTAAGGAAGATGGCAACTACTCATGCCCATTTGAGAGGCCGGCATTGCCTCCCCCATGGTGCAAGTCCCATAACTAGTCGGTAAGGTGCATACGGAATTCAGCTTGCTCATCAATGTTATCCCGATCGGGGTTGGGAGTCACCTTGTTGAATTCTTGCAGGAATGGATGCTCCTCCTCCTCGTCCAACTCATGCCCTTCCAGAGAGTGATCCGCTACATCTTCATCGTGTTGTAGCATGAAATTCTGCACAATAGCGCAAGCGACTACGAAGTTCATCTGTTGGGCAAAGTCATAGTTAGGCATATGGGGCAACGAAGTATTGCAAATCGCCGTTTAAGGCAACCAAATGCACGTTCAATGACGTTATCAGTTGTGCGTGCCAATAGTTAAAGAACTCTTCCTTTCCCCGTGGACCTGAACCTGCCTGTCAAAATTGTGCAAGGTGGCGGCGGTGTTGTCGAAATAGAGTTAATATTTGAGGAGCATTCATATACCCTGAGTCTCCTAGATAGTACTTCCCTACAAACGCGCAGGGATGTACGGCCACGTAAGAAGGCGTTCACATAACATAGAGGTACAAGAACATGTAGAACTTAAAAATTACGGACACCTGGTGGGGGAAATGGAAAGTCTCCATGGTAGTTTATAGCATGGCGAAGCACTCGACTATCATGAGCACTTCCTTCGAAACCCGCCAACATGTAAGTAAATCGCATGTTGAAGTCGCATAATGCGAGACAAGCTTGATCCATATCACCCTTCGCTGGACAAAATTGCGGCTGCTGAGCACCCGGGATTGAAGCGTGTATTAGTGTCCCATCTAGAGCTCCAACACAGTCCTGCTCCAAAAAGTTGTAAAAGGTCAACGATAGCGTCTTACTCGGGATAGGTCGTTTCTTTTTCCTAAAAGCGTTTACCTGAAACACAGGCCAGAATGCGGAGGACCCTCAGATCCTCTGCGGTATTCCCGTTATGTTACCAGGTTTAATAAATTCAGGAGCCAACTTGCGGATCGCAACTGCAACTCTCGCCACATGCTGCCACACAGTCTTCGTTGAATTTTGAAATCATTCTGTGGTGGAACGCTGACGGTTCGAGTGCGCTACCATATATAGGAACATGGCCACCTGCTCGTGCACTCTAACACCTTGTCGCCGATGTATCTTAAGGAATCCCCGATCCATGAGTATATGACAGAGATCCTGAAATGTGTCTGCCTACACACGCAACAAGTTTTTTATTCTAACCGGGTGATCATTAAGCAGCTCGTAAGTGAATCCAGCCTCGGTCAATTCAGAGTCGTAGCATCGCATTGGCCATGGGTTCGAACATAGAAATGTCACTGTTGCAGCCCCTAAAGCAGTAACTATGGCTAAGTCATCCCGTGCGCGTGCATCATCCTCCTCTTGTTCGCCTAGCACCAGTGCAGCAACGTACTGCTCGTCACCGCTGCTATTACTACTCGAAGACATATTCCTGCGCGTAAACCCATCCACGGAAAATACTTAGGAGGATAGGTAGTCGCATTGACAGAATGAGAACACACATTTTATTGACGCTGGCCAAAGCAGGTAAACAAACGGAACAACGATAAAAAGTAACGACAAATTTCACTTGTTCGGAATTAGATTCATAGACCCGTCTCGACATAGCACATCTTGGAAAAAATGTGTCGGGGTTTTACAAACCATATCATATGACCTAATGTTGCAGCACTTATAGACGTATATCCCTGGCAATACGTTGCAACCATGAAAATGAACGTAATGGGTTCTTAACATGGACACATCCAAGTACATAAACTGTAGCACTAACACACGCGTAACCAAACGTAAATCATTTCCGACTAGTGGGAAGGCCTGGGATGAACTCCAGAACCCAATTACGGCGTCCCTTAGGCGTCTGGTGCAGGAAAAACTTGCGAACTTCGGGTACGAGGAGATGCGTACGAGCCGTAGTAATGGCTCGCTCAGGGACGTCATTGATGGCATTTATCGCCTCCCTTGCAAACTGCACAGTTTCCTCCCGCCTACTAATAATGGATTGCATGTTTTCTTGTACCCTATCTACGATAACAATCATCTCCTCGCTAAGAACCTGCCGCAGCTCTTCAGTTTGCGAAGAGGTTTTCTGGCGTTGCACCGGGCGGCGCGATGGTCTAGCTCCTGCCGAGGGCAACCCAATATCTGCATAACCAGTGCTAGTAGATCCAATTGCAAACTCTGATTCACTTGTACGACGTCCTCGCCCGGTCCTCCCTCCACCATCATTGGTACCATCAACACTCTGACTGTTCATAGCACTTTGAAACCCAGAAGTTACAGTTCCCTTCCCCCTCCCCCTGTGGGTTGTGTGCCAAACATCTCATGACAGTAATCCAAATAGAAAAATATTTTGATCAAGAGATAGAGGAACCTAGGGTTTTGCTGGATATGAATTCAAGTTACAAGGGTAAGATAGGAAAATGTAGAAATTGTAAGAAACCCTGTATGAAATGTGTATTTTAAATTCATTACCCTAATTCAATTGGTTTTATGCTCCTCATCAGCCGCGACCAACCCTTGCATCCCACCCTAGGCCCGTTGTATGGACAACAAGCTTCTTCAGGTTGTTGTACGCATCCTTAATCCGTCTTAGCTTCTCCTATAGTTAGTCTATCGAGTACGGTGTATTAATTTCTAGTATGAACTCCGCCCTTATCATAGTCCGTATTGGGGTTGCGAAGTTCGTGTCGGCAAGGTTTCCGACATGAAATTGCTGCCATAGGATGTGCATGAAGGTCTTCTCCTGCTCGTACGTCCAATTCGCCCGAACAACAGTTGGAGGTTGACTACTGCGACTCCCACGAGACATTCTCTGGTACGAAGGACGCCAATAACAAATACTTCGGATGGAAAATGTAAGGGGTAGAGTAAATTAACCATGTTAATTTGGAACGACTGTGCGGGTAAGTAATAATAACTAACCTTCCATTTTTTCACTTCTTTTTTTGGTGGCGTATAGTTTCCCGCCGAGGTTTCCACGTCAACCACAACGCGCTCCAGCTTACATACCTTGTACATGTTATAGGGGGTAATGAATTGCATCACGCATAGGGTCAACAATTGCCATCAATGTCTTCGCACGTTTATTCTTTTCCAACTACCAAACCAACTTTACTACGATGACTATTACAGAATCTATATGCACGCAACACAGTGAGCTTACTCGTATGGCAGCCTACCACAACTCACTGGGAAGGTGTACTCATGTTATTTTAAGTGCGCCGAAAAGATTTCTCACCTACGCAATCACATCTAAAATGCTATGCACTTCCTACTCTCTCAATCATTTGGTCTGGACGTAATGCACTCACGCTGTCTGCCGTGGCAATATGGTCACGAATCCATAACCACTTGGAACAATACGACCATGTGATACCTAAGAGACAACTCGCTAGTCCAATCGAACATGCCTTCAAAATCTACCGGCATTAGATGTGAGCGGGGTCTCCCCCTCATATATTTCAAGGCAACCAACCTTATATATTATCATCGTGCCTACGAAAGGTGCGAATTAAGGCCCTCACCGGATCTACGGTAAGAGGAATTCAAAAAATTCACCCTCCTCTGGAAAAATCAGCGTAACACCGAACAAACCAACCTCACCATCTATACCAAAAATAGCCCTAACCGAGAGATACCCAAGGTCCTTGAGTTTGTTTGTTAAACTCCATATCAAATCCCAGCATAAATTTACATCACAAACACAGATCTGAGGGTTTAACAAAATAATTGATTGCCAAGAGAGTAGTACCTGATCTGTAGTCGCGAATGCTAGTCGCAGGCCGTGTCGAGGAAGACATCCCAAAAACCCGTCGAGAAATCGGAAAATCCAGTCGCTAACGACGAATATCCTTCCCCGCTTGCGCAACCTCCGTCGTCCCCTAGCCCTTTCGCAACACCTGCTTCCAATGGATAAATATATGGATAAGATAGAAAATTAGGTGCGGGAATTAATATTCACGATTAAATAATTCTTGCAGGAATCTTGTAGCCTTTACTATGTTAATTTTTCAGTCCTACCAACTTGCCAGTCACGCGTGAGGAGTAGCCTTAGGTATAGGGTTTTTCCTGTTCGGTTTTGTCAGAAAATTGAATAGTAAAACTTTTTCAATATCTAACAGGTAAACACAACCTAAATTTTCTTCAGAGTTTTCAGATTTTCAAATTCAACTTACAAACAAGAAACAACATATTGTAATGCAGGGTAAAAATAAATGGAGTGAATGATCTTTCATTAGAACATAAGATATCATGTAGAAATAAAATACACAAAACTATTGGTGTTTATTAATTTTATTATGAAAATAAAGTTACGGGTTTGTTTTTTTAACATTTCAAATTAAAACTATTTACTTTGCACAGTTTTTAACAAAAAAATATATTATTTTTTCTAATAAAACATCATATCAAAATAATTTTTAAACAAAAATTTAAATTAATACATTATTGTAAATCAATTGTAAACCAAAACCAAACAAATGAATTATATTTGATTTTATTCTTTTTATTAATTTCAAATTTTGAAAAAGTGTTTTAACTTTTTTTATTGGTGAGAAGAATAAAATTACAATATAAAATATATTAATTTAAAATGAATATTTAAATTAGTCAGTGCAAAGCAACTAAACACAATGAGTGTTTTTTATTTTTTTTGTCAAATAAAAAAATTTACTAATTCATGCACAATTCACAATAAAAATATACTACTACCTCTGTCCTCCGTCCACCGCTAATTTATCCATTTACTTTTTCCATGTTAATTTTTTTATATTAATTATTATAGCAAAATATAGTACAAATTAAAGAAAAATGGCAAAAATACTTCTATTAGTATTTGATAATACTAATGTAATACATTTTTACAAAAAAAATTATACAAACATAAATATATTTTTAATGTTAAAAATAATGACGTCATATACAAATGTGTAGATTAACGGTGGACTGAAATAGTATTTTATCTCATAAAACATTAAAAATAAAATACTATTTAAACCAAAAATTAAATAAAAACAAAACAAATAAACCCTTCTCCTTTTTTAGCCGCTACCCGAAAGTCGCACTGGGTAAACCCCCGGCCGGATCTAATACCCTACAAACTAGGCTCGACAGACAAGTCACACTAGGCGAACCATGTGTGGCAGGTGACCTAAGGCGTCGGGGGTTTGAACTCAAGACCTCACGGTCACAAGTCCAATCCCCACACCACCAGGCCATCCTTTACGGGACACCCTTCTCCTTCTTCTTCTTATTTAATGAAAATATGATACCGATGAATCTCGGCGATATCGGAAGGATCGACTGCTAGTAGTTTACTTGCGATCGGTCCAAAGGGAAGCAACCCACTTTAAGTTGATAGTAGTACTTTTAATTATTTGGTAGCACTTTATTTAATTGAGTATTTTATAATTTATATTTAATTATGTTTTAGGTCTAATAATAAGATTAATGGGCCATTAGGGCCCAATAAGAAGTCTTTAAATATGTTAGAGACACAAATCTTATTGATCATCTAGGGAATTGGGGAACAATCTATTGATTGGGACGAAAGATATTCTGTTGTTTTGCTATTTTCTATATTAAATAAGATTCATATTTTTACTTCGTATCAATTGGTCCTACCTGCCGGATCTCAGAAGAGAGGATGAACACACGCTCTAGAGATGTGGACAACCGTCTCAACACACTAAAAACTAACCTAACTGCCTTAATTGCAGCACATGCGGAGACGCGACAACAAGTGAATATGGTTAAGACGATGCAGACTCAGATGCAAACTCAGATAGAGGTTATTCAGAACCAGATGACTGAACAATATCATAAGTTGATGGCAGCCTTGCAGGGTGGCACTAACCGTCCTACGATTATGGCCAATGACCTCACAGGATCCTCGGTTGTGATTAATAGGCACAAACCTAGCGCGCCACCGACAGGAGGCCAACTGCTAGCCATTGCAAACCCGGTAGCAATTTCAAATATAACGTTGCCGATATTTAATGGTGCTGATACAATCTGTTGGATCTAAAAGGCAGAGCATCAGTTTTGAATACACGATGTCATAGGGAATCGTCAGTACTATTAGTAAGAGTGGCCATGAAGGTAAGGGCGTTGAATTGGTTATGCAACTTTCGATCCATGCACGAGGATTCATCATGATGTGATCGATACAAACATCCCTACAACCTAACTTATGCGTGCTCAGTGAAACAAATACATAGACGAAGAGAAGTCGTGGGACCCCGGGGTAGAGCAAATGGATGATGGAGATAGTAAGTTGGGGCAGAAGGGGAACACAATGGATATGTCCCTATCCTTGTATTCACCAGCGGACTTCACGGGTATACAAACTATTAGGGTTTATGAAATGCTCAATGGAATACAAGTGGCGATACTTTTAGATGGCTATGCGAGTCATAATTTTGTGTCGCAAGAATTGGTGGGGAGATTATCATTGTCAATACAACATATTTGTTTGTTTGCAATGACGCTCGGGAACGGGAGACAACTGCCATATATAGAAGTCTGTGGGCCGTACAGTTGGGGGTTGGAAAGGCATATATTATGACCGATCGTTATACATTATCGCTTGGTAGAGTGGATGTCATATTAGGAGTGACATGGGTGCAAACTTTCGGCGACGTACTAGTCAACTGGGAACTATGACAGTGACATATAACCAAGGAAATGAGCTCATGACCCTTCAAGGAGAGCCGACGTTATCGCGTTCACCGGTGTCACGTCAAACCTCGTTGAAAACAACAAATGCAGACTTTTGGGTTTCTGTGGCGGAACCGGCGAGTTGCGTAAGACCCGATAAGCCATATCAACAATGTTAGCCAACAGTGCAAGCCGGGTGGATTGTAAGAAAGTACCGGAATAGTATCCAGACGAGTTTGAGGAGTCGGGACGATCACCACCAAGATACAAGAATGATCATCGTAGAAAACTCCAATCAGGTTCTGATCCGATGTCCGTACGACCTTATCGTTATGGTCACTTGCAAAAAGATAAGATTGGACGCATGGTGAAAAAGATGTTGACAATAGGGATCATTCACCCAAGTTCAAACCAATTCTCAAGTCTAGTGCTATTGGTAAAGAAGAAAGATAAGAGGAGATTTCATATTGATTTTCACATGCATTATGGGTACCACCAAATTCGAGTTCAAGAGGGAGATGTGCCAAAGACCGTGTTTTGCACCAGACACTATGAGTTCCTAGTAATGCCTTTCGGGTCACTAATACACCGGAGACATTTTCCAGTTTGCGATGAATGATTTATTCCGACTGTATATGCAAGTCCTTATGGATCTGGAAAAAGTGTGTGCAGTTCAAACATGGCCTACTCTAACTTCGGCTTGGGGAATTCATGGTCTCCTGTGTTTGGCAGAATATTATAGAAGGTTTATATGTGGATATAGGGCTCCTGTCAAGCTGTTCACCAAACGAGATTTTAGTGGAGCGGTTGGGTTTAAATCGAGAGCCAGAAGTTCTTGTTCGGTCCTGGTTTGGAAGAACGAGGCGCAACGTGATTCACTTAGGAGGAACTCCAACAACAATTTTCAACTTTCCACCTTGGGGACAAGACGCCTTTCAAAGGGGGCAATTGATATCGATGAATCCCAACGATGTCGGAAGAATCGACTGCTAGTAGTTTACTCGCGACCGGTCCAAAGGGAAGCAACCCACTTTAAGTTGATAGTAGGACTTTTAATTATTTGGTAACACTTTATTTAATTGAGTATTTTATAATTTATATTTAATTATGTTATTAGGTCTAATAATAAGATTATTGGGTCATTAGGGTCCAATAAGAAGTCTTTAAATATGTTAGAGTCACAAATCTTAGAGATCATCTAGGGTTTTGGGAACAACCTTTTGATTGGGACGGAAGTTATTATGTTGTTTTGCTATTTTCTATATTCAATAAAAATTCATATTTTTACTACGTATCAAAATATTCATATTTTGTATAAGTGATCATTTTTGTTGATTTGGTATGTATGTTTATAGCGTGTGTTCATTTATGGGATTTTGCAAAAAATTTACTATTCACCAAATTTTTTTTTCTCAAAAACATCAATCAAACATATACTCCCTCCGTCCTAAAACTATAGTTTGGGTTATGTTTGACACGAGATTTAAGGAATATTGATATTATATTGGTAGTTGGTAAAAAATATGGGTAAAAGACTTTTTTGCCCTTGTGAGTGTATTAGTGTAAAAAATAGTGGCAATTGTGTAATAATAATGAAAAAGTAATGGTAGTTTTATAGTGATATGATTATTTATGGAAATGAGACTATTGTTTTGGGACGGACAAAAATGATAAACAAGACTATTGTATTGGGACGGAGGGAATATATTTTTTTATTTTTTATATTATACTAAACATAAATTTTACATTCAAAACGTCACTGTTGATGTAATTTTTCAACAAAAATAAAGTAAAATTCAAAGATATAGAAAATATCCTTAAACTTGATTAATTAGTGCCTGAGATTAGGAATCTCTAAACACTGTATGGTACAGAAAATAAACTGGAAAATAAAAGACTGAAATTTAAAGTGGTGATCCCCAAATCTGACTTTGCTTTGTTGAAGTTGATTGAAGATACCTTGCCAAATGATGATTCAGATCCTTAAATATTCCCTGGGAAACCGTACTGAAAACCGTCACCCGAACGGTTACAACGTCTCCTTCTCAACCGTCTTCCAACCTTTCTCATGCTGACACGTGTCCCCAGCAGACCAAAATTCCCTATATTTCGCTCCTTGAGCCGACCACAAACCTTCCGCTCTTTTGGCCCGACTTCGTCCTTCGTCCGACCTACTTCTTCGCCCGACCCCACTTGGGCCGACCTCCATATCAACCGCCCTCTGTCTTTGATCAAAGGCCTC